CTGGCACAATCTCAAGAAATACTTGTGCAGAGATGCTGTGATTATATAATACAGTAAGTTGAATTAAATTTCCCCTTAATATACTACGCTTTTGTATACACGCCGATCTTTTGTATGTATCATGGATGTGTGTTTTTTCGATAATGATACGGGGCTGATGATAATATATTACATATAGCTACTTTATATTTGTGCTTGTATTTAAAGAACATCAACTTTATTTGATATTGTATATGGAAATATATAGTACGAGATGTGGTCACGTGACACGTTCGGTAGCACTATATTGCAATGTGCTGTCAGTTTCGAGAATGGGTTGCTAAGAAACCATATGAAGTAATGTCTACTGATGTCGGTCATTATCAGAAACGTGTAGATTCCAGCAATTATATATTAAAGATATTTTGGTCACGCGGTCTTCTATTTCCAACATCAATAAACTGCTTGAAATCAGATTACGAATTTCAATAATATCTGAAGACATGGTAAAAATAGTATTCATAGAGTGAGCGCCACGTAATTCAGAATATCTGCGCATGCGTAATAATCTTCAAATTGAAAAGTTAAGATATTATGGAATTAGAATTGCACTAGATAAATAATTACGGAATATATATGTGGGCTATATAATAACATGTATTTAAGTTGTTGTTGTTAAAAATTGCATGGCTTTGATTTTGAAGATTGAAATTGTCATGTGCGATCTTATAATGCTGCCACAAGCTTTGGAAAATGACCGCCAAATGTTAGCATGTTGCACGATTTTGTTTAAAACGTGCTATCAATCTCTTGCTTGGGTACGTAGTTCTTGACAATAAAGGGTATTTTCCCGGGGACATTACATAGAACTTGCTTAATGGGGACGTTCCCCTGAAATGGGTCTCGTTTTGGATTTTAAATATAAGCATCTGTCTTATTTCTGGTCAAGATAAGTATAAATATCGGTAATATTTTTCCGATTTGTTTTAATAATATGCTCTCATGTAAGTGACAGAGGTGTTTCTATGGTCAAAATACATATTTTAATAAATCAATATACAATGCAACTGTTGGCTTATATGTGCTTCTATTGGAGATGCTCTTCTAATAGAGCAAATACGGTAACTGTTTTATTTGTAATAAACAGTGATGACAGAAATGGTACTTAGCTATACATATGGGTATAGATTTTGCCACTATCCAGGTATGAAAATGGTCACACTTTTGAGCACTCAGGGGCACCTCCCTACCCAGCTACCCATGTAAATGGTAAACAAATCCAGATTTGTACGCTTGACGTCATTTCCGACTGTGAAAAAACAAAATAAGTATCAAATGAAACATTTTTTTTCGCCATTGAATATTTGACAAATTAGTAAGCTGTAAAAAAAAGCAAAGACAAAATATTAAGTTCTGTTCTAATAATAATAGTAATAATAACCAGTTTCAATTTTTGTGTGAATGCGATGTCATTCCATTTAACAACTTATTCTCGGGGGCGGACATCCGGTCATTTTCTACCGCCTGGCAACCCTCGCGGTGAAAACAAAGACCAAAACCTCGTACTTTGCGATGGTTGTTGAGAGTCCCCTGAACAGTGTAACAAGATTAGCCCTACGTGTGTAACATATATGAATTTGGTTGTTCGGGATTACTTCAAAGTTGAGTTTGTGTTGTTTTCTCGAGTTTTCACCGGCTCCACCGGCGTTCCACAGCAGCGCGCACAAAGCCCATAGAAATACGTGGTACAGTGGTGCGCGTCTTAGCAACGTAGAACGTCCGTGACGTAGCTCCGCCCCCGAGGATAGACAAATAAATTTGTTTTCTGTTATTCTTTACATGGTATAATGCTTTGTGAGTTGCGCCCTCGCCGATAGTTTAACATAATATCCTCAAACAATTATAATAAACCACTGTTATTTAATTGAAGTAAATGAGTATGTTTGTTAACCATGAAGATAAACAAAGACCCAATATTGTTCATACAATGCGACTACAGTGTGAGGGTCATTTGAGGTCAACAATTATGACCACTAATCAGTAGGCCTCTAGAGGTCGCTGTGTAGACAGCTGACAGACCAATGCTGAGACTATTTTCTGAATATCACGGTCCAGTCAATGTCCGGGAGCAGCGCATGAAAGGATACGTGTTTCTGAAAACATCACGGAGCTGTGATAAGTGACGTTCGAAACTTCCTGTTCAGGGTAAGTTATATTACTGAATGACACGAGTTCATAAAAACAGCTGATTTTCACTCAAATTTTACAAACTCGGTAGCTCTATAAATCCATATAGGAGTTGGAGTGGGTATAAATGTTATTTAGTTGTTTGTTTATAAACTAGACTAGTCGCTAGACTTTTCTCTGTCGTCCAACACTGACATGGTCATGGGTGCAGGGCTACACCCGGAAACTAAGTGTTGAAATAATATCGAAAACAATAAATCAATAAATATAAAGTTCGTCTAACCATGGAGGTAACACTGACTATTACTTTAATCATGGAGTTCTTTTTTTAACTCCATGCTTTAATCATACATGTATATCCTGGTCGTCTATGCATTCATGTAATCTTAGTTATAATTCACTATCACACCTTAGTGGGACCGACAACAAAGCTATGTCAACACTAATGTTTCATGCCGTCCTGTTAGCTAAATATGGATGTCAGTGTGTAGCTTCAAAAAATTATCTTTGTGGTTATATAATAATCTGAATAATTATACTGTAAATATGAATAAGTAGTCAAGTCAATTCTATTGAATGAAATGGTGACAGTTTTTTTTTCATTATGAAAACACAGACGAGTAGTTTTATATACAAGGAAACAAAACTGCATAATACATGTATATAAACAATGACTTGAGTGAACAGTCTGCTCCGGGAATCGTTCCTGGAGTCTTGTTGCTGTGAGGTTAACCGCTAACCGAGCCACTATTGTCCATATTTGGGGAAAAAAAATGTTTTATAATTATCAGTTGGATATTACAAAAACGAAAAATCAGAATTCAACTTGATATACCCATTATATTAAACCTACTACAGTCAATCTAAAATATATGGGTTCAAACATTTTAATCAAATTTTGTTCAAATAAGTAAATTTTGTTCATCAAGTAAGTCAATAAAGCAATCGTCACATGTGTTGAGATACCCATACCAAACATTGCAAACAAAATCAAAGCAATATAGAGAGCCTGTGATTTACTTATATTCAGTTGTTGTTCTCAGTGTAAATACAAAGAAACCTGTACCGGTAATTTATATTTATTCTGGGGATCCAATTGCCTAAAACATGGCTACCATACCGTAAATATTTTGCTTAAATTTTACCTTTTAATCATGGTTTGGTGTTTGTATAAACTTACTACAAGTACAACTATGCAGAAATTATTATGTTTTGATGG